CCTACTTGCATTTTTGATATATTTTGGTATTTATGAAATATATAAATATATAAAATATATGAAAAATTGATGTGGGTACTCAAATGAAAGGTCTCGATAAGTGTAACATCAGGATGAGTTTATATCTTGAAAAATCTCAATAGTTCACAAGATACAAGGTAATTTTTTAATTATGTATCTAGAGATAGAGTATTTTAGAATGCAGCCTAAATAATTATCCTAATAAATTGACCTTGAAAAGGCACAAATTCAAGTCAAGACCTTTGCGGACTAAATTTTACTTTAAAAAAACCCATTTTATCATATGACTATCCTGGAGGCAAAATTCTCTTAATAATATAGATTACTACTTTAAATAATATAAAAAAAAAAAAAATATTTTTTAACACTGTTTTTCATTGATCAAATTTTTTATTAATAATTCCAACTTGTAATTTTTGAAACTGTTACTTCTTATTGAAAGCAAGAAACTCTGACATGCTTGATATGAGAAATAAGATAAACTTTCGAATTAGAAAAAAAAGCTAATGAAATTTTTTTGTGATTCTCACATTACACTATGTTGACATAAAAATAAAAATAATCAAAATATTGAACTCGAATTACTAGAAATTGAAGAAAGTAATTGAGGAAATTATTTAAAGGTAAATGAAGGAACTAGAAAAAAAATTTAATAGTTACAATAAGTTAATTAAGTGTGGTCGATAGAGAATAAACGTCGCTCAGTAATTATTGAATATTAGAAAGAGAAAACAAGTTATTTGCAAGCAAATGATTTTATAAAAGAAAGTTTAATATTTATTTTTATTCTCATGAATAATATTGGATTCTAATTACTAATTATTGTGGTTACGTGACGAGTTGTTGACACGGAAACACTAAAAAAATTATTTTATTTATTTTTATTGTGAAATTCTTTGTCACAATTTCAATTATTTTATAATAAGTCTATTAATTTTTTTTATTGTGTAAAATTAGACTTTTATAAATCAAAAAAAAAAATTTTTAGTCTGTTAATTCTTAGTAAAAAAAAAAAATTAAATGAGCGCGGAAAAAAATTAGTTCTGAAATGACCGCTAGGGGACAATGAAAAATTGTCAACAAGTGAAAATAATTTATCAATGTAAATAAATATTTTAAAGTTGTGAAAACAAACTAAAAAATCAAATTGTTAGTGAAATGTGAAAGTTTAATTTTTTTTAAAGTTATTGTAATTAATTAATTAAAAAATCAAGAGCGATTAATCAAAATGCCTCCGATTAAAAAAATTGTTGGTTATAAATATTAAAATTTTATACTTAATGACAATTTTTTTTTAACTAAAAAATTTTTGACACTAACTGTCTTTTGGATTTTATTTAAAAAATTAATTAGTTATAAGAAATTAATTTGATAATTTGTGTAAAAAATAAATTATGTGGAGAATTAATTTAGCTGATATTTGATAATTTTAAGAATTTTTTAAATAAATTAATTATGTGAAAAAAAAAAAAATGAGTAAAAAAATTAACATGTAGAAGTATTTTAATTAATTAAAAATGCAATTCTTTAGAAATAATTTTTTGGAACAAATTTGTTTGTTAAATAAAATTAAAAAATTGTCAAGTGACAGCTAATTTTAATATCAGTAAATTATGGCAAAAAAAATCAGGAAAAACTATTGACATGTAGAAATTTTAAATGATACTAAAATTAATAAAAATTAAGTTAACCGAAATTTAAAAATTTTTACAATTATTTTTATTGAAAATTTTTATAAAAAAAAATAAAAATTCACTTGTAAAAAAATTGTAAATCTTCAAGTGCAATTTTTAATGAATATTTTTTTGTTCCAATTTATTAAATAAAAAATTATAAACTTTAATTTTATCTAAAATTAGCCGTTAAAAAATTTTAATTTTTTTTATTAATTAAATTAGAACTGAAAAAAAAATTTCAAAAAAATTGCACGTATAATTTTTAAGATTTTTGAAATATGACATTTTTTCTTTTAATTTCATTTTTAATAATTTTTCAATCAAATAAATTATAATAATAAAATTAGCCGACATTTATAATTTTTTTATTTTGCTTAATTTATTAAATAATAACTAAAAAATTGCACTTATAGTTTTTCAAGTTTTTTACAAATGAAAATTTTTTTTATATTTCTTTGTAATAATTTTTTTCAATAAAAAAAAATTATTAAAATTTTTAAATATTGGCTAACTTAATTTTCATAATAAATTACAAAAGTTTTCAGATATCTACACGGAAAGAACAAGATGACACTGGATACCATCTCAGATTATACTCAGTGGCATCTGAGGTGAAAAAAAATTTCAGATGGTAGCTAGTATAATTCAGATTATACTGAATAATATCTAGATTATACTCATTGTAATCTGGATTATACTCATTGTTATCTGGATTATACTAGCTACTATCTGAAATTTTTTTTCACTCAGTATAATCTCGGATTATATCCAGTATAATCTTGTTCTTTCCGTGTACCGGCTGATTTAATTTTCATTAATTTAAAAAAAAATTTTATTTTTATAACTTTTAAATTAGAATTTTGATTGAATAAAAAAAAAAAAAATTGTCACAATTTTTAAAAAAACTAAATCCCAAAAACTAATTTTCTAATTTTTCAGAAAAGTAACACAGGATGGGTAGACCTAGACATGGATTTCGGACCCTCGGAGCCGGTGAAAAAAAAAGAGCCGAAGAAACCGAGCCAGCCTGAGTCCAGCCAGATGGACCTGGACTACATCGACAGCTTGATAGTATCAAAGCGCAGTAACCAGACAAGTAGTCTGGCCACACTTCTAGAAGCCTGCGACCCCAAAAAGTCAGCTGATCTGTCTGTTAGTCGCCAGAAACAGAAAGAACTGACAGAATGGCTGGTAGAGAAAGCTCTCCCAGGAATTCCAAGGATCCTCGTGCTGTCTGGAGCTTCTGGCTCTGGAAAAACAGCGGCGCTGAAGATCCTGGCTAAGGAGAATAAATTTGATATAGTAGAGTGGATCACTCCAACTGATTCTGCTGTTAATTACTATGATAATAACATGACAATTAAGCAGGCTGATAAATTCCTGGATTTTTTCATCCGCGCTACTAGGTATAATTCTGTGATGGGCAATCAGTCCAGCAGGAAGCTTCTGCTGGTCAAGGATATTCCTAATATTTACTTCCATGACAAAGACAGTTTTTATGATTTATTAACGTGAGTTTTTTTTAATTGATTTTTATTATTTTATTTTAGGAATTTTCAGTAGAGTAAATTTACCAGTTGATTGATTGGATATAAAATTGATTATATTATAATTATTTATTGAAGATAATACAGTCAAAAAATATTTTTTTTAATTTAAATTGCAATCATAAAATCAATTTTATAATTTTTGTGAAAAATATTTCGTATTTTTTATGACTAAAATTAATTAATTAAAATTATCAAGTGTGATATGACATTTAGAGGCATGTGATAATTTTTAGAATTTTTTTAATAAATAAATTATAATAATAAAAATTTCATCTTTAAAAGCTTTAAAAAATTTTAAATGTAATTTTTAAAAATAATTTGCGCTCTCAAAAAGTAACTTCTTTCTTTAATCAATAAAATTATATCTTAAGAATTTATATTAATAATATTCATTTTTATAAGTCATTAGATTTATAATAAATTTATGGATGTAATAATGTGAAATATTTATGTAAATACAAGTTTAATCGGTCAATTACTGAATCTATAAAAACATCATTACTTCAGTTAATTACAATTGATTTCTGGCTATAAATCATAAAAGCTAATTTTTTATGATTAATTATTAAAACTATTATTTTAAATCACAATATTTTTTAATTAAATTTATAATAAATACTAGCAATCTTGCAGTCACGATGTGACTGCCGTGACTTGTGAATTATAAATAAATAAAATTTTGGTTTATTAACACGGAAAGAACAAGACGACACTGGATACCATCTCAGATTATACTCAGTGACATCTGAGGCGAAAAAAAATTTCAGATGGTAGCTAGTATAATCCAGATTATACTGGATAATATCTGGATTATACTCATTGTAATCTGGATTATACTAGCTACTATCTGAAAATTTTTTTCACTCTGTATAATCTGGGATTATATCCAGTATAATCTTGTTTTTTCCGTGAAGTAATGAATTTTGTTAAAATGCACTGTAATTTCTTAAATATTGACGTTTTTAAAGATATAAGCTCATCCTGATGTTATACTCATCAAGAGCTTTCATTTGAGTACCCACATCAATTTTCCATATATATTTCATATATTTATGTATATATGAAAAATATATGAAAATGCATGTGGGTACTCAAATGAAAGCTCTTGATAAGTGTAACATCGGGATGAGCTTATACCTTTAAAAAAGTTAATATTTAAGAAAGTACAGTGCCATTTAACAAAAGTCATTTTTTAAGCAACCAAAATTTTATTAATTAGTCCACAAGTCACGGCAGTCACATAGTGACTGCAAGATTGCTAGTATTTATTATAAATTTAATTAAAAAATATTGTGATTTAAAATAATAGTTTTAATAATTAATCATAAAAAATTAGCTTTTATGATTTATAGCCAGAAATCAATTGTAATTAACTGAAGTAATGATGTTTTTATAGATTCAGTAATTGACCGATTAAACTTGTATTTACATAAATATTTCACATTATTACATCCATAAATTTATTATAAATCTAATGACTTATAAAAATGAATATTATTAATATAAATTCTTAAGATATAATTTTATTGATTAAAGAAAGAAGTTACTTTTTGAGAGCGCAAATTATTTTTAAAAATTACATTTAAAATTTTTTAAAGCTTTTAAAGATGAAATTTTTATTATTATAATTTATTTATTAAAAAAATTCTAAAAATTATCACATGCCTCTAAATGTCATATCACACTTGATAATTTTAATTAATTAATTTTAGTCATAAAAAATACGAAATATTTTTCACAAAAATTATAAAATTGATTTTATGATTGCAATTTAAATTAAAAAAAATATTTTTTGACTGTATTATCTTCAATAAATAATTATAATATAATCAATTTTATATCCAATCAATCAACTGGTAAATTTACTCTACTGAAAATTCCTAAAATAAAATAATAAAAATCAATTAAAAAAAACTCACGTTAATAAATCATAAAAACTGTCTTTGTCATGGAAGTAAATATTAGGAATATCCTTGACCAGCAGAAGCTTCCTGCTGGACTGATTGCCCATCACAGAATTATACCTAGTAGCGCGGATGAAAAAATCCAGGAATTTATCAGCCTGCTTAATTGTCATGTTATTATCATAGTAATTAACAGCAGAATCAGTTGGAGTGATCCACTCTACTATATCAAATTTATTCTCCTTAGCCAGGATCTTCAGCGCCGCTGTTTTTCCAGAGCCAGAAGCTCCAGACAGCACGAGGATCCTTGGAATTCCTGGGAGAGCTTTCTCTACCAGCCATTCTGTCAGTTCTTTCTGTTTCTGGCGACTAACAGACAGATCAGCTGACTTTTTGGGGTCGCAGGCTTCTAGAAGTGTGGCCAGACTACTTGTCTGGTTACTGCGCTTTGATACTATCAAGCTGTCGATGTAGTCCAGGTCCATCTGGCTGGACTCAGGCTGGCTCGGTTTCTTCGGCTCTTTTTTTTTCACCGGCTCAATAGTTCACAAGATATAAGGCCATTTTTTAATTATTGATATTTTTCAAGATACAAACTCATTTTGGTGTTACACTCATCGAGACCTTTCATTTAAGTACCCACAAGACATTTTTTATATATTTTATATATATGGTATTTGTGAAATATATAAATATATAAAATATATGAAAAATTGATGTGGGTACTCAAATGAAAGGTCTCGATGAGTGTAACATCAGAATGAACTTATATCTTTAAAAATATCAAGAGTTCACGAGATACAAGGTCATTTTTCAATCATGTGTCTAGAAATAGAGCATATTAAAATACAGCCTAAATATTTATTATCATATAAATACACTAGCCAGAATATTTTGCTTATTCTCTTAATAATATAGATTAAAAAATATTTAATTGTTTATTAATATTTGTATAATCTAATATAAAAAAAAAAATTTAATTAAACAAATAATCAATATCAATTAACCAGTCAACAACTGGAGCATTTACTCTATAATCCTTTATTAAAAAAGTAAAAATAATTAATTTTACGGTTTATATTTTCAGGCAGTATTTTGAACTAGGCACTCACCCCTTGGTCTTCATTTGTCCAGACTCAGAAGCCAGCCGAGTTCAACAAATTCTCTTCCCTGCAGAAATAATCGACAAGTACGGCATAGATAAAATAAACGTGAACGCGACGACTGCAACCGCGATGAAGAACATGCTGAAGCGAGTCACCCCGATCTTGAACTCAAAAGCGGGACATATGCTTCAAGTGACCCAGGACAACATCGACGAGGTCTTATCCAACAGCATCGGTGACGTCCGAAGCACTCTTTTGAATGTAATCTTCACCTCGCTGAAGATACCAGGTCAGACTAAGAACCAGGACTGCGAGGTCCGAGAAGAGAGCCTGGGGTTGCTGCATGGAGTCGGTAGAGTCATCAATCCTAAACGCGAGCCTGCTGATAAACCTGGAGGCTGGAAATTTGTTCACAATCCTGATGAGATCGCTTCATATTTTTTATCTCACTCAAATATTTTTCTGCATTTTTTGCACGAAAATTATTTAGGTACAATGGATAAAATTGAGTTTGTTGATGTTGCTTCGGATATTCTGAGCTTGTCTGATACTTTGTCAATTGAATATCGGGTAAGAGTTATTTTTTGTAATTTATTTATTGATTTTCTATTAATTAACTTTTTTTTTTTAGGACCCTAATCTCGTTAAATTAAATTTGTCTCTGTGTATACGGGGCTTGATGGTGAGTAATCAAACTCCTGTCACAAAATGGAACCCTGTACGCAAGCCTAGATCTGCCGAGACTAAACAGTAAGTTGATTTTTTTTTGTTTTTTAGGTAATTTTTAACGTTAATTATTTACAAGTGAGGTCCACCTTATTTTTGGCCATATCTAGGTAAAAAATTAATATTTTTTTATCTTATTTTTTTAGCTTTTTTGCCTTCAAAAGATAAAAATTAAATTAGCTGGCATTGTTAATTTTTGGAGTTATTTTTTAATTATTAAATTAAATTAAATATTACTTTTAAAAAATTGCACTTATAGTTTTTAAAGTTTTTAAGAATTGAATTTTTGAAAAAAAAAATTTTTGTAATAATTTTGTTAATAAAAAAAAATTATTCAAAATTTTAGATGTCGGCTAACTTAATTTTCATAGTTAGTCGACATTTCAAAATTTTTTTTATTTTTTTTATTGAAAAAATTATTATAAAAAAAATTTTTTTTTAATTTTCATTCATAAAAAACTTGAAAAACCATAAGTGTAATTTTTTAAAGATATTTTTTAGTTCTAATTAAATAAATGAAAAAGAATCAAAAAATTAAATAACTTCTAAAAATTTTTGATTTTTTTATTAATTAAATTATAATTAAAAAGATATTTCTAAAAAATTGCACTTATAGTTTTTTAAGTTTTTTTACATGTGAAATTTTTTTTTTAATTTTTTAATTAAAATTTTTTCAATAAAAAATTTATAAAAATTTTGAAATGTCGGCTAACTTGATTTTCATAAAAATTTATAAATTTTTTTGAAAATTTATTAAAATTGTGATAGTCGACTTTTTTTTTAATTATTCATTTTTTTTTATGTATTTTTCAGAAAAAAAATACATTAATAAAATCAAATAGAAATTTTGTTCAAAAAAATGAAAATGACGGACCCCACTTGTAAATAATTACCTTATTAAAAATTTTTTTATAAAATAATATTTTTCAGTCAAAGAGACCTTGGAGTTGCTGAAGAACGTTATTACAGATCAATTATCCGACCAAAAGCAGTAAAAGATCCTCCGAACCTCGAAACTACTATTGAAGCAGTTGATTAGTTTATTAAATTAATTATTTTTTTATCAGCTACAAGTTAATCAAAATAAATTATTTTTTAGGAATTTAAGAAGAATTTTGTTGTTAGAAATTAAATATTTAATCGGTAAAAAAAATGAATTTAATTGTTTTTTGAAGTAATTCATTGTTAATTAACGCAATTAAAAGATGCGCCACCTTGCGTTATTGGTCCAAAAATGACCAGAAACAGGTCCAGAAGGGAGAATGCCCATATCCCCCACTCCAACAGTCCCCATGCTCTACAATGAGTCAGAAGTTGGAGTAGTAAGTAGAAATCACGTGGCACGTGTTACGAAGGAAAAAAAAAAAAAAAAACGGAGTGTTTGTTTGTAAAATACTGTCAGACCACGTGAGACTTTTAGTGAAACATCCTCGTGAGAAATTAATTAAATTATTGTCATCAAATAATTATATTAAAAATGAATTTACAAGATTTTTCATTCGACCACGTAACTGTCAAAATAGAAAAAGAGGATCAACAGGTAAGAGGGTTATGTTTTTAAAATAAAATTATATTTTTTTTTAATAATTCATATTTTCAGTGACAAGTCAAAATTTTTTGAGGTCATTAATTATTTTAATTAGTACTTTGAAAAAAATTTTTTTAAAATTAATACTCAAAAAAACATTTTTTTCAATTAATACTCAAAAAAAATTTTTTTTTTTTTGTAATTATTTACAAGTGGAGTCCACCATTTTAATTTTTATTTTTTTGAACGAAATTTCTATTTGATTTTATTGATATATTTTTTTTTTTTTGAAAAATAAATAAAAAAATAAACAAAAAAAAAAGTTAACTATCACATTTTTAACCAATTTTACAAATTTTCAAAAAAATTTGATATTCAACTTTTTATTTTAAATTTTATCCAAAAACATGAGAGCCAAAATTTTTTCCAACTTTTGAAGATAATACTTAAGTTAGCCGACGTTTTTAATTTTTTGATTCTTTTTTATTTATTTAATTTAGAATTAGAACTAAAAAATATTTTTAAAAAATTTCACTTCATGGTTTTTCAAATTTTTTAACAATGATAATTTTTTTTAAACTTTTTTACAATAATTTTTTCAATAAAAAAAAATCTAAAAATTTTTTGATATCGGCTAACTTAATTATCATCTTTTGAAGGTAAAAAAGCTATTGAAATCTTTATTTTTATCTTTCATGATATTTTTTATCATAAATGCGCCGTAAAAACAAGCAGAATAAAAACATTAATTTTTTACCTAGATATGGCCAAAAATAGAACTGAAAAATATTTTTTTTTAATTGCACTTATAGTTTTTCAAGTTTTTTTACAAATGAAATTTTTTTTTTATCTTTTGTAATGATTTTTTCAATAAAAAGAATTTCTAAAAATTTTTAAATGTCGGTAAACTTAATTTTCATCAAAATCTCTATTTTTTTCTTTTACGATATTTTTTACCATAAATTCGCCGTAAAAACAGGCAAAATAAAAAAAAATTTGTAAATAATTACCATGTTTATTCAATTGCTTAAAAAAAAATTCTTTCGATAGATAATAAAAATTATTTTTTTTTCAGGATTGGAAAAGTGAGTACCCAAATAATATTTACGATCAAGATTTTGCTCAAGAACTTCCAATCGACATTGAGGACGTTAAAATTGAAGAAGAACCTGAGAACAAACCTCCTTTTGAAGACAACAATAAAATTAATAAACCTATTCCAACTTCGCCAAATTCAAACAAACTTACACCAAAAAAACCTCACTCTTGCGAAATATGTTCCGCGAGGTTCCGTTCGCGCGCGAACATGCTCGTGCACATGCGCACCCACACAGGGGAGAAACCCTACTCTTGCAAAGTCTGCAAATCTAGATTTTCTCAAAAAAGCTACTTAAAAATCCACATGCGCATCCATACCTTAGAAAAACCATTCACCTGCGACATCTGTTCCACGAACTTCAGCCGCAAGGACGTAATGACTAAGCACATAAGGATCCACACCGGAGAGAAGCCATACGCTTGTAAAGTATGTCCCGCGCGGTTCCGCGGGAAAAATCATTTAGACCGACACACAGCGATCCATACCGGAGAAAAGCGCTTTGAATGCGACATTTGCAAGATGAAATTCACGCGAAAGTGCCACCTACCGAGACACATGGTAACTCACATGCAAGAGAAGCCATTTTCTTGTTCCAAGTGTTCCTTGAAGTTCCGCTTGGAGGTTAGCTTGCAAAAACACATGAGAGTTCACGACAGAACCTTTAGTTGCAATATTTGTTCCGCGAACTTTAAGAACAGGAACGTTCTTAAGATTCACTCCAGAATCCACACGGGGGAGCGACCGTTCGCTTGTTCCGTGTGTTCCAAGGCGTTCCGCACGGCCTCTGGCCTGAGTAACCACAAGCGCAGCCACACCAATGAAAGACCTTACGAGTGTCTTGTCTGTTCCTTCAAGTTCCAAACAAAGTCGCACTTAAATCGACACTCTTCGATACATACCGGCGAAAAACCGTTCCAGTGTAAAGTTTGCGAGGTTACGTTCCGGAACATTGCGTTCTTAAACACTCACATGTTAATTCATGAGGGAATTAAACCGTTTTCTTGTGAAACTTGTGGGTCTAAGTTCCGCCACAGTAGTAATTTTAAGGAACACTTGATGATTCATACGGAAGAAAAGCCTCATGTTTGTGAGAATTGTTTGAAAGCGTTTAGAACGAAGAAACAATTGAATCTTCATATGTTTGAACATGAAGGGAAGAAACCTTACAAGTGTAGTTTTTGTTCTAAGCAGTATACTAGTAGGACTCATTTTGGTAATCATCTTAAGGGACATACTAATGAAAAATAATTTTTTTAATTGAATAATTGTTGACAACTTGTGTAATAAGGCTACAGATTTTTTTTTTTTTTTTTTTAGTATATGATAATTCATTTTTAATCATGTTGCATTTTAAAAAGAAATTTAAGGATATTTTTTTATTATGGGATTGTAAAAAAAAATTTTAATGACGATAATACTGGTTAGATAATTTTTTTATTTTTATAATTAGTACAAGCAACCTTGCAGTCACTACGTGACTGCAGTGACTTGTGAATAAATAAATAAAATTTTGCATTATTAAATAATGACTTTTGGTAAATTGAACTGTACTTTCTTAAATATTGACATTTTTAAAGATCTAAGCTCATCCTGATGTTATACTCATCGAGACCTTTCATTTGAGTACCCACATCAATTT